CTAAATAAGACAGTTTTAAATAAGAGTGCTTCTCTACTGGAAATATCTCCTCTAAAAAATGTAAGTAAACGTGACAAATTAGAATATGGAAAGCAAAAAGTTAAAAAACTGGAAACAAGTATGACAAACCTAGTAGCATCAGCATTGGATATAGACCCAAAAGAAATAATATCTGAGAAAAAGCAAAAGTGCATTAACTGTAATGATTTAGACAAACTTTTAGATGCAATAAAGGAAAAAGTAAAAATCAATTTGAATGAAGAAAAAATTCAATTACTAACATTAACTCCTGATAGTTAGTCAATTAAAAAAACTTGCAATGCATTTTCTGTTTCAAACCATCTTGTTAAGAAAGCCAGAAAGCTAAAAAATGAAAAGGGAATACTTGCTAAACCTGAGGCTAAAAAAAGACATCCTTTGGAGGATATTGTTAAGCAGAGAGTCATTGAAATATATGAATCTGACGAATACACTAGACAATGTCCAGGAAAAAAAGACTTTGATTCTGTGTATATAAACAATGTTAAAGTTCATAAACAAAAACGCTTAATATTAGTTTGTTTAAAAGAATTTCATCTGGAGTTTAAGAAGTTATACCCTGAACACAAAGTTGGATTCAGTAAGTTCTGTGAACTAAGGTCAAAGTGGTGCCTTACTGTTGATAGTAGTGGAAGCCACTCAGTTATGTTCTTACCATCAAAATGCTAAGTTGATGTGCTCTGCTCTTCCTAACAGCCATTTAATTATTACAAAGATTTAATGAAAGTATGTGTTTGTGATATGGATGGTCGAAACTGCATGTTTCGTCTATGTTCCAACTGCCCTGGCAAAATAAATTTGAAGACTTACTTAAAAAATATGCTTGAAAAGAATGATTTTGATTATCAGATCACATATAAACAATGGGTGTCAACTGACCGAACTGCACTTATTACAGTCCAAACAAGCATTAGTGGATTTATTAGAACTTTAAGTGAAACTTTGTATGATCTTTGTCACCACCACTTTATCAAAGAAGCACAGTCTTCCTACTTAACAGAGGCAAAACAAACATTAGATCAATATACCTGCATTATTCTGATGGATTTTGCAGAAAACTATAGTTTTCTTGTACAAGATGATATACAAGGGTTTTACTGGCAAGCTGATCAACCTACCTTACACCCATTTGTTGTTTATTACAAAGATGAAAAGATCACCTTAAGTGTGAATGCTATTGTTCATTTTCTGACTATCTTTGTCATGACCAATCAGCAGTCCATTGTTTTCTCACAAAGTTGCTCCCTATGGTCAAAATCAAACTACCCATAGTGAATAAAGTTAAATACTTCAGTGATGGTGCTGCGTCACATTATAAAAACTACAAATGTCTAATAAACTTAATTTATCACATTGTAGATCACCAAATAAATGCTGAGTATCACTTCTTTGCTAGGTCACATGGCAAAAGTCCATGTGATGGAATAGGAGGTGCTATAAAAAGAGAAGCAGCAAAATATAGCCTACATGCAGCAATTACAGATCAGATTCTCACACCACAAGATCAGTTTACATGGGCTTAAAAAAACATCAAAGGTGTTAACATATTTTATCTTTCAAGTGACGATATCAATAACTATGAAACAACTTTTAACCTTCAGAAACAATATGAAGGGATGCGCACAGTTCTGGTAACAAGAAGCATCACTGTTTTGCGGCAGATGGGGAGGAATTGTTTTTCCAGAGAATCTCTAGTGATACTGCCTGGTAAATATATTGCATGCTTTTACGATGAAGAATGGCACGTAGGGCTTGTGGTTGATATTTGTAATGGAAACCATGACGTTAATGTGAAGTTTATGCAAAGAAACAAATTAAATTTAAAATGGACAAACGATGCACGATCAAGTCAGTGTTGGGTTCCATTTGACAAGATAATATGTCAAATAAGTGTTCCATTGATTAAAAGTATAAGTGCTCGTGACTATACTCTTGCTAGTAATGATTATGACAGTATTATGAGTTATATAAATCAGTGATAAGCTAATTAGTTTCATGTATACATACTTTTTCTTTTAACTGATTATCTTACTCTTTGAATGCACTTTTTTACAGTATAGTTTGTATAAAATTTAAGGTAAAAATTTTGTATGTAGTAAGTGGTATTTTTTTGTTCTCCTCTTAAAAATATCATCACTCTGAAAAGGCTACAATCATGTCATAAGATAGAGTATAGGTCTTTAAATTTTTTTTGGTGATTGCCTATATATAGAACCTCAACATTAAAAAGTTTCATAATTTGTTTCAACTGTTTACGCTACTTTCTATGCCAGCAAAGTCAATGTAATTTATCATAATTTTTAAAAAATGTGATTTTTTAATAGGCTGCTGCATGTGTTAAATTAATTTTTAATGCATAATTTTGATTATTCTAACAAGTGGTGACCCTAAGTACAAAAAGGTAACAAAAAAAATCACTTTCTGTAATTAAGTATGAAACTGTAACACGTTAAAGTTCTAAAAAATATTTATAATGTTGCAATATTTAGCAACTTTAAGGTACAATAACTCAAAAACTGTAAAAAACCAGTCAAAAACAACTGCAATAATGGGTGAAAAACTATTACCCTACAAAATTTCAGGTGATCATCATCTTTATTTAAAAAGTTATGGTTTGTCAAAACTCGAAAAAAACTGCTGTAAGCTCCTGATACACAAATTTTTCGGATTTTAGTCATTTTTAAATCAATCATAACTTTTGAACAAATTGGTCAATCAAGCTAAACTTTTCTGGATTGTATTTTTTTTATAAGATCTGTGTCTGGTCAAAATTTAAAGCAATTCTGAGGTGGTACCCTGGGAGCCTTTAGGTAATTTGATATGGAATAAACCTTCAGAGTCCAGGTCACAATCCTATTATGGATTATTGAGAGTACATAGACTGTATTATATTTATGTATTTTATATCATACTGTATAAACACCAATATATATTTTATACCACACCATATAAACACAGTATATGCAGATGTTTTTAAGTAAAAGTAAATAACTCACTTATTACAAAAAAATAAAAAAAATAAAAACACAACAACAAGACCAACTAAACGATATAAAAAACTTTATTATTTTAATTTTATATATAGAAAAATTTAGTTTTTAAAAAACTTGTTTTTGTTTGGAATAAGGGTACTGTGAACATAATTCTGAATGCATAAAAAATGGAAAAAAAACACACACACAGAAAATTCATTAATGAAATTATTATTATTACTTAAATGGGCTTGTTTTAAGTTAATGTTAAGTTAAAATTGATTTATTCACGCATCATCTTGCATGTAAATGTGTTAATTTATTATATTAAGAAGTTAATGTAGCTAAATTAAAACTAAAAATAAAGAAAGAGACTCGATTACAGTTGGCTCTCAATGCCACAATGACAAAATAATGTCTTTTAAATAAGCTTCTAAATGTTTCAATGCGTTAAAATCAATCACAACAAAGCAAATATCAATCTGTTGACAATGTAAATATAAATCTGTTAAAGTCCGTGCACCAAGGAATATGAGTCAAACTGTCAAGGTAACTTATAAATCTTATATAGTTTAAGTTTAATATTAGTTTTGGTTTGAAGAGACATTTTGAATGTTATTGAAAACTATTTAAATGAATCAGACTAAACTCACTTATTCAAAAATTAACTAAAAAATGGTTTAGTGGATTTATGAGTAAATATAAAAATGAAATTAGAACAAGAAAAGCTAGTAACATGCACATTTTAGTGTTTTTATTTTTTCAAGTTATTTAATTATTTACTACAAAATGTCTGTAATTAGGTGATTATATGGTAACCAGAATAAAGACCTTTTTTTTTTTGCTTGTTATTATTTTTTATTTTTATTTAACTAATTTATTTCAAGAAATTTTAACAATACAGTTTTTTTTTTATATATAAACCAAATATTATTTATACAATTTTAATTTTTATTTGCAAAACTATTTTATTTAAACTAAGTAATTTTTTACTCATTTTTTTGTTAATTTAATTTTGTTAAATTTCAAGTTGAAATCTAACATGATTGTAAATATAATTTTGAATTTTTTGGGTTTTTTATTGTTTGAGTTTTTAATTAGATGTAATATAGAAGATACGATGCTTTCTATAAAACAGTCTGTAATTAGGTTTCATACATAATTAGGTGTTTATACAGTATATACATATGGTATATACATACAAATAAGATAAATAAAGGAACAGAAATATATGATTTGTGTTAACCATTAACTGTTTATTTTAGAAGTTTTTTCAAGACAAAAAGGTTAAAACTGGAGCAAATCAAAACTTATGCACAAAACTTAAGTCACAAACAATATATACACAATAACAATGTAAATAAAATGATTAGTGAAAAATTTGTTTTTTAGTTATATTCAACACCATAGATCTTTTTGTAAGTACAATACTAACATAAATAATGCTTTTATTGTAAATAATAAACATCTTTTAGATACATAAAAAAGCAGAAACATAAAACTAATAAGGTAACAAAGAAGAATAAGTACACAATTAATAAAGCTCTTGTTAGTTTTGCAGTGGGTTAAACAGTGCTAATTCATCATCACTTATCTGTTAATTAGTCATACTTTTAAAGTTTATAGTGATTTTAATAGGTGATAATAAAAATGTTTCCAAAATAATAACAACAAAAATTAATTAAGTATGTTTGATTAGTCATGTAAAGTATGTTTGATTAGTTATACTAAACCATACATCATTAAAAAAAAAAACTATTAACTTAACATATATTTAAAAAAATATTTACACTCAATTTTATTTAGAGAAGTCTTTTAATAGCTTCAGCATTTGTTTTTTAATTTAAAAAATATATAATTTACAGATTTTTATGTTCTTTTTAAGTTCCCTTTGAGTTTTTAACTTTAAGTTACATGTAGAGCTTAAGACAACAGATACGCATAACTCAAACATACATTTTATATATAACTATTTTTAGAAAAACATACTTTTCGACCTCCCCAGTCCCAAACTTCAATGACAAGATTTCTATTTTCCTTTTGGATTTTTTCATTCAGATCTATAAAAAATTGAAAAATAAAAATATACAACAAATATTAAGTTAAATACTGACAGTTATTTCAAGATTAGGTTCCTAACTTCTTACACTTTTTTACTAGAAACAAAAAAATTTTTAATTATGATTATTATTTTAATCTAAATTTCACTGTATCTACTCATTTCACTGCATCTACTCATACTCGTGATGATTAATTTCACTTATTTTCACTAATTATAAAAATAAATACATTAATTGTATTTATATTCACAATATCTAAATTAAAATTATATATCATTATATAGCAGTGTAATACCATATATAATATAAAAATCTCCTCCTTTCCCTTTATCAGACCATTGGTTAAGAAAGGCAAGAGATAGTATTTCATCTTAAGCATGATGCATCTTGATATGATGATCTTGTTACTGTCATGATGATCTTGTTACTGTCGTAGAAAAGAAAATTTCTAGGCAATGACCTTTAAATGCAAATGTAATTCTAAACTTTTTTCTAGTCTACACTTATTTCATAATCTACTAATAGCTTCAAGCTACAAAGACAAAACTTTTTTTCTCAACTCAAACTATTTTTTACGTTTTATCACTGATCATAGCTTATTTTCTTCTCATTCACTTGAGCTCATGTTAAGTTTCAGTTGAGTAGATTTAACAATACTTTCATTTGTTTGAATCATTCTTCTTTTAAATCAAGTACACCATTACCAATATATTACTCTTCTGAAAGTATTAAAATGACTCTTTTTTATGGCGATGCACTTTTTATTGATGAATTTGCTGATAAATAAGCTTTATTATAAACATAACTAATTTTAATTAAGTTTTATTTTTAAGAAATTTTTTGGATTCTGACAGGAATAGTTTATTTTACTTCTTTTTTTTCAGTTCAGTCAAGTCATATTCTTTTCCATTGTTTTCTAACTGCTTTTACCAGAAAATTACAGAAAAGAATGTCTTTTGGTTTTGTCAAAAATAAGGGCATAAAAGACTTGTTGAAGAAAAAACTTAATAGTAAAAAAACATTTATTCTCTGGTACTTTGAAAGAATTTTTCAACATAACATTTCAACATAACATTTTCAACATAAAATTTCAACGTTGAAATGTACAGTATTTCACGGACAGCTCCCATATTTATTGATATGCTAAACCCTATTGATCAGAATTCCAGACTATGCTAGTTTATACACTCTAGGATCAAAATTAAACTTCTTGAATTTTGATCTATAAATAATTAAAAAAATAAAATAAAATAAAACTAATAAATACTACTAGCTGCTTCAGCTAGCATTAAATATCAATCCAATATTGAAAATAAAACTTACAAAGCAAAATGTTAAATGTTAAAAACAATTAAATGCAGACTAGACTGAACTAATAAACTAGACTGATCATCAGTATATAGATGTATATAGATGATAAAAATCTTTAGACATCAATTTTTTATAACTATTTTTTTAGTCATTCAATGTCAAATCAACTGAAAAAAAATTTTAAATAAAAATTTCATTTTAAAATAATAAACAAATCTCTTAAGTTTTTTAATGCTCAAATAAAAAAAGTATATCATATGATGTCTACTAAGAATGATATTGATATCAATATATTATTATATATATTTTAACCTATTATTATACAATTCTAACCTTTTTTCTATACTTCTAAAGGTAAACTCTGCTGTTGTTGTGCATTATTTATTTGTAACTCCAGTTACAGTTTTAAGAACTTCCTTTACAGTTTTTATTTTTAGAACTCTGAAAAAATTTGTAACTACAGTTTTAAGAACTCCAGTTACAGTTTTTTTATTTTTAGAACTCCATTTATAGTTTAAATGGTAGTTTACAATAATGTTTGATAGCTGAAGAGATAGCTGTTTATGAATTTTCAAAAAATAATAATTTTTAAGTTGCTGTTTTTTTTTTCAAAATTAAAATATAAAATAACAATGAAAATAATACAGGTGTTTATTTGATTTAAAAAAAAATTAAATAAGCTGTTCGTACAAGAAAATTGTCATAATAAATTCTCTAAAGAAGTTAAACATAAAGCAAATAACATGGATTTTATTTCAGTATATCCAGGATACAATTATAGAAAAATCAAAGAAAAAAATTTCAAGTTCCAAATGCAATCAGAAAATTCAACTACTTTAACTGGTTACAATTTTATAGTTTAACAAATAAATATAGGCCGAAAGTTTACTGTTAATGTTTGTATGGTGCAAATATCACATGAATTTGCTACATGATCTTATTTTTCCCTAACAAAAAAAAAAAAAAAAAAAGAAATTTTGAAAAATTAAAAAATGCAAAGCATTTTGATATTTTATAAAAAAACTATGTTATTGCATTAACAATGCAGCAGACGTAATGAAAAAATAACATGTGTTTCAAATCTAATTTGTCATAATCACGCACTGCATTTAGCCATGATGAATTTCTTTATAACATTAAAAAAAAATTTTATAAGGTCTTTACAAAACTTTAGAGATTTGGTTGATGATGAAAAAGAATAGACGAATATTCCAAAGAAAATTAGTAGATTAGAAAATGAACACATTATGACATTAAACATTGATTGATTAGTACCAATTTGAGAATATTAAAAAAATCTGTTAAAAAGCATTCTATTTTGATTGGCTACAAAGCATTCTATCTTGCAATAAAATATGTCTTATAACAACATTATAGAGTGGAAAGAGAGTTGTAACAACAATTTTTCACAAGGCCTCCACTACTGGCCTTATGTCTTTATGTAACCACAATTTAAGTAGCCTGCACAAGTCACATTAATGGCCTTGGCAAGATCAATTAACATTAAAAAAAAAAAAAAAAAAGCTAATGGAGTTAAAAAACCTTATTTGAAAATTTGCAACCAATACAAACTGGTATAATCAAAAAAAATATGGATGAGAAAAGAGATCCAGTTTTAATGACTCTAATAATTTAAAAAAAAAATGGAAATAACAATCAATTAAATTTTAAATATTCCTAAAAAATAGGGCAATTTCATTTCCTGATAAAATTATGAAACAAATACATCAACAAATGTTTATAGATAAGCATGTTTATATTTCAAAACAATATTTCATTTTAATTTATAATGAATTAATCAAATTTTTAGGAAAGTCCCAAATCATAAGAATTTTAATTACGACAGATGCACAACTGTTTAAATTGGAAAATAAGAAAATTTTTTATTAGTCTACTGAAGTCTGAGAAGACATACTGGTAAACAAAGAGCTTGATTGGGCAATAACTATTTTTTAACAACAATTTTGACCAAATAATAACAACATATTGTTCCAGATCCATAATTGTGTGACAAAAATTATTTAAAAACTTTGGCATATAAAATTCGTCGAATGGTCACACACGAGCAGTGAACACCCGAGGAAAGAAATGAAGTACATTAGAATAAAGAAGAATTATTTATCGAACGAAGCATATTTTGACAGTTGTCAAGACAAAAATAAAGATTAATAGAGGAAAATTTCAAAACAAGTAAGACAGACAACACATCCAAGCAGTACTAACAATAACAATAACAAAAAATTGTATCATATAAAAAACTAGTACGTACGAAGATATACAACAAATATTTAACAACAATTTTGACCAAATAATAACAACATATTGTTCCAGAACCATAATTGTGTGACAAAAATTTATTTTAGTACATTTAAAGAATAAAATACATCTTTAAAAAAACAATATATAACTGGAAGTTGAAAACACTCCAAGGAGATGAAAAATGCAGAAAAAAATATACTATTACAGAAGATCTAGTTTCACAAGCTGATTTAGTCACAACCATTTAAACCATATTTTAGGTTAAAACAAGTTTTATATAAGGTTTAAAACATACACTGTACAGCAAATAATTTTTGATTATATTACCAGAATGTCTTCCAAAATTTTACATGGTATATAACAAAAATTAAAACCAAAAAAATGAATAACTTTAAAAAGTTGTAAAAAAAAGATCTGGCAAAAAAATTTATTTGTGTTAAACAAAAAATAACATTAAAATATAGTATGCATTGAAAAAATAATTACCAGAAGCCTTACTAAAAGGATACCATTTTGTAACAGAAGCAGTTAATGTTTCTCCATCTGCTATGCAATTATTATCTTCTATTAAAGAATGCACGAGGCTTGTTTTTCCACTTCTTGTGTTACCCAAAACAAAACAAGTTAATTTTTGTGTAATATTGTATTCCCGTAGTGTGTCTAATATTGTAGAAAAATTACTTTGAACATTATCCATTTGATTTTGAGCATTCTCTAATGATGGAAACAAAATACCTTGACACCCTGTAATATTAAGATGCTTTAGGCTCATTAACTTTGTTAAACTACAAGGTAAATACTTAATAGATGTCCTCTCCATGTCAATAAAAGAAAGATTTTCACATAATGATAAATAATTTAAAGATTTTTGGGTTAAATTTATGCAACCTGCAAGCTTAATGGTCTCTAACTTCTTACAATTTTCTCCTACTAATTGAATTGCATTATCAGACAACTTATCACACCCAGATAATTCTAGCAACATTAACTCTGACTTGCAAATAAGTAAACTTTCAATTCCACAATCTGTTATACTTTTACAAAAGTTCAATTTTAGATATAAAAGATGGTGACAATAACTTCCTATCTTGTTTAAGGTGACGTCATTTACAACTGTTAAACTGCTAAAATCTAATGAAAGCAATGATGATCTAAAGTTTGACAAAAACTTTTCAAGTGCATCATTTGTTAACAAGCTGAATCCAGATAATGCAAAATGTTCAAGATTAGATGTCATGTTGTTTATTAAAGCAGGAAACAGTCGATTGTCTAAAACCCAGAGGTGTAGCTTACTCATTGCACTGGAGTCACTATAATTATCAACCGATGATAGTATTGACAGAGATGTGAGAGAACTACAATTCCGTCCAATCGATTCAATGCCTGACCGAGTAATTTGATTAAGACACCCCAAAAGTTCAAGCTTGACTATTTTATTACAATAAGCTGTTAAAATTTCAACACACTCATCATTGAACCATAAAACATTTTTTACAATTAGAGTATGCAGGTTTTTGTTAACAAGAGGAATGACCGCACATATTTCGTCAACTGTAATAGAAGTGCAGTTATTGAATTCTATAGCAGAATATGAAGTATTTTCAAATTTCTCCTAAAAAAGATTATATCATATATAAAGAACATATATGTTATATGTATATTATCATGTTTGCTACATATAATAACATATATGATATACATAAATTTACATGTATAAATAACAAAAAAATATTTTAATGATACTTAAAGGGAAATTTTATATAAATAATACAGGTAAGCAAAAAAATGCTTGACAAATAATTAGGATGAAATTTGGAAAAACCATATATTATTACTAAAATCAAAACCATTTAAAATTTGAAAAAGCGTTTAAAATAATTTTATTGTTTACAATATGCTTTAATGAACAATTTGTATGTGATGTAATTTATATCTATCAATTTTTTTGCTTCACTTATTTAGATTAGTTTCATCTTACTGGTGGTGGAAATTCTTTTTTCCTAAATAATAGAACTTCTTATTTTATTATTTTAATAAAAAATATTTAATATATTATTTTGATAATATTTTAATAATTATTTTATTTAACTAAGAACATTTTTTAAACAAACATTTTTAGACAAGCAACACTTTCATTTTTAACACTGGATTGTAGTTAAAACTTGTTGAAAAGAAAAATCTATACAAATCTATATTTATTTAAAATTATTATTTTAAATGGAACACAAATTCGCTAAGCATTAAGTTATTTTTGATTTTATAAAGTTCATTCATAAAGAAATAATGCTAACATAAAAACATAAAAATTTAAACAAAAGAAGTATAAAAATAATTTTAACCATCGACCATGATCATCATTGATCATCAATTCCATGAGTTAGCCAGTTGAATTGATGACTCGCTATTTATAAAGACTCAATTGAAGTATTATTAAAAAATAATTTTGGCAACCACTTTTGATTTTTAGACAATTGCCTAAAACACTCAATCAACTGTCTAAAAAAAGTTTACAGCATATATATATATATATATATATATATATATATATATATATATATATATATAATATATATATATATATATATATATATGCTGTAATATACTATATATATATATATATATATATATATATATATATATATATATATATATATATATATATATATATAGATCAGCATCATCGACTGCCAACCCTAACTCCAAGGGCTGATGACCAAGCAAGAGTGTATATATATATGTATATATATATATATATATATATATATATATATATATATATATATATATAAATATATATATAACTCATTATGGTGGAGCAAAAAGCAGCAACAAATTTAGAGTGTTATACATTTAAATTTACTAAGTTAATACATTTAATAAGTTTCATAATCATAATCTTTTATAATCGTGTTACTAAATACCAAGAATGGGAAAACAGTTTGAATATACATATATCTAAATTTAAAAAAATCAAGAAGATAATTTAATAAAGTTAAGAAACGATTTGATAATTTAATAAAGTTAAGAAACGAACAAAACACTGAGAAGGAAAGTGAATTAAATGACCTTGTTTTATGTATCTAAGTTTCTTATTATATTTACTAGGAGTGAAAATAAGATTTTTTTAAGGGTCCAAAAAAATTTGTATGCGCAGATATTTGCTGATAAATTGTGCGCATACAGTCGCATAATTATGCGCATAACTTTTGTTTTTAAATCATTAAAAACCGTTAAATTGTTTTGACTAGACAGACAGACAAAATCTCGTTACAGTAAAGAGAACTGGAACTTGCATTGCCTGTCAAAAGACAGTTCAATGGGCAAAAAATCGCGTCGCAGCATATAAACGAACATCATGTCCAAACGCTAGTGAAGATGAGAAACGATTGTTTGCAAAACAAAAATCTGAATCATTAATCAACTTTGACAACGACATTATAATCTCAGCTGAATCTTACAAAGTAGTCGTCAATGTGATCAATCCTGAAGAATTAAAAAAAGAAATTGATATGAAATAAGCAAACTTCTATTTCAGAACTGGAATATCTCTTTGTCTCGTTGAATCTGAATTTTAAGGATTTGATCAAAGCACTTAATCCATTATATACATCATCAATACCGTGAGCAAAAATGCTGTCAGGTTTGCTTTTTGATTAATTATGCAGAATGCTCCGCTAAATTAGAAGAAATTCTTGAATCGTCTGAAAATTTAACGCTCGTCAGTGATGGTTGGACAAATATTGGTGGCGATCATATAGTGAATTTTTGTATCAAGGCACCAAATACAAAACCGTTTTTCTATACTTCAATCAATACATCGGGCATAATTCAAAATGCTGCAGTTATTGCTGGTGCTATCATCAAAGTAATCGAGACTCTTGGTCCACAAAAGTTTAGAAGCATTATCACTGAAAACGTTCCAGTAAGCTGCTTGGAATTTAATTGAAGAAAAATTTCCACACATCTTAACATATGGCTGTGCAGCACACAGTATGAATCTTCTCATTAAGGATATTTTGAGTACTGCTGAAAGTTCAAAGATCATCAAAGAAGCTGAAAAAGTTATCAAGTTTGTGAAAAATCATCACATTGTTAAAGCAAAGTTTGATGAAACGAGAATTGCAACTAATATTCATCACTCACTCACAATGCCTGTTTAGACTCGATGGCTCAGTCATTTTAATTCAATGAACAACCTTTGTATGGCAAAGTATGTTTTGATTCAACTTGCGGATAAGGAAAATGCATCTTTGAAAGAAACTACTACAAAAATGAATTCTGCCACTATTTTGATAATAATTAAATCAAATGCTTTCTGGGATAGTTTGCAAAACTTGTGAAAGTTATCGAATATCCTACAACATCATTGGAAAATGATGATGCTCCATTATCTTTGGTGTACTATTATTTTGGTGAAATGTACAAGAAACTTGCAAATGAGGAAAAAATTCAGAAAATGGTTATGAAGCACTTTGAATTCCTTATCACCTCAGATATGGGAACCACCTATATGCTGACACCAAAGTATGCTGCAGAAGGATTCTATTTTGGTAAGGATAAGACTGATATAATCAGTTCAATTTCAGAATTAGCCTCTAAAACAAATTCAACAGTTGCTGAGACAGTTAAAAGTGAAATGATTGAGTTTGTTGGAGAAATGATAACACTGACAGAAAAAAGAAAAGAGACGATTTTCAAAATGAGAGCAAAGAATTGTTGGAATAATGTTGGTCTACAGAAATATTCAGCAGTCTTTAAAGTTGCAAAATCTATTGTTGAAATGATTTGTTTGTCAGCAACAGCAGTTTTACTTGGTCAATTTTTCGATTTATTCATTCACGATTAAGAAATCGCTTGACAAACAAACGCGTAAAAGAATTAGTTTTCATATATACCAATAGTGTTTTGATGGATACAAACAACAAAAATGACTACATTGTAGAGGAAGGAGAAGTTCTCAGCGAATTCGAATGTGAAGAAATTATAAATGAAAGATTTTGTGAAATTTTTTTCTGAAAGATTTTATTGTGCATTAGATGGAGGCAGTGAGACTAGGGCTATTGCTCTCAACATATCTAAAGCTTTCGACAAAGTTTGGCATGCTGGTCTTCTCCATAAGCTTGCTTCATATGGTGTTTCTGAGAAAGTTTTTGAGATTATCAAATCATTTCTTTCTAACCGGTTTATTAAAGTCATCCTTGAAGGCCAACACTCTTCTTTATTTCCAGTAACTTCTGGGGTTCCCCAAGGTTCCATCCTGGGCCCTGTTTTGTTTCTTATATACATAAACGATTTTTCTGACAACCTTTCATCTAAAGTAGCTCTTTTTGCTGATGACTCAACTTTATACTCCTGTCTTGACAAAAAGTCTTCTCTTTTCGATCGCCTAGAACAAGCAGCTGATCTTAAATCTGATCTCACTTCAGTAATAGATTGGGGTTCACAGTGGCTTGTGAATTTCAACTCTAAAAAAACCCAATTGCTTACTGCAAACAACTACCGTAATATGGTCAACATTCCTATATTAATGAATGGCAATCCTCTTACTGAGTCGCCCTCTTTACGTCTTCTTGGATTATCGCTTACTACTGACCTTTCATGGAAACCATATATACAATCGATTGCTAAATTAGCTTCTGCTAAGGTTGCTTCTCTTTATCGTGCTCGCCATTTCCTTACTTCTGATTCCATTCTCTACCTCTACAAATCTCTTATTCGTCCCTGTATGGAATACTGTTGTCATATTTGGGCTGGTTCTTCTAACAATTCACTTTCTCTTCTTGACAAGGTCCAAAAACGCATTGTAAATGTTGTTGGACCTGGACTATCTGCTAAGCTTGAACCTCTTTCCCATCGTCGTAAAGTTGCATCTCTTTCTTTTTTCTACAGATACTATCATGGTCACTGCTCAAAGGAGTTATCATCTCTAGTTCCATCAACTAAAATTCATTCTTGTTTTACTCGTCATTCAGCTAAGTCTCATTCGTTTACTGTATCTGTCCCTGCATGCTCTAAAAACTTTTATTCATCTAGTTTTTTTCCCCGAACTTCAATCCTTTGGAACTCTCTCCCATCTTCATGTTTTCCTGACTCATACAACCTTCAACCTTTCAAGTCTTCTGTCAACCGTTTCCTTGCTCTATAACTCTGTTCTTTTTTTTTCCTAGTAACTCCCAACTTAATAGTGGTTGCTTGCAGCCTTGTTGCAATTGAATGCAAATAAAAAAAAAAAAAAAAAATGAGCAAACATAATACAAAAACAAATTAAATTGCCAAGTTTTGTAATATATTTTTTTAAATTTGTAATCATGAAAATAATTTGAAATGATTAATTTTAATTTAAAATTTTTTTTTTTATTTAAAGTCACTTGCGTTTGATATAAAAAACATTTTATTCTACATTTGGCATTAACTAATTTCCATACCTTTGATTTTTTTTCACTTCTATGGTTGTCAAAATTATTTTTTAATAGTACTTATTTATATATACTTATTTTTTTATATATTTTTATATTTTTTTATATTATTTTTATATTATTTTCATATATTTTATATTATTTTTATATATATTTTATATTATTTTTATATTATTTTTTTATATACTTTTATATACTTATTTTTTAATACTAATTATATTTTAGTAATACTTTTAATAATACTATGCGGTAGTGGTATAGTGGTAGAGCGCTCGCTTTATAAGCAAGAGGTTCCGAGTTCAATCCTCACCACGTCCTTAGTAGTACCGCGCTCAACTCGTTTCTCTGTGCAGCAGCCTTGTTCGTCAAGGTTCGTGTTTCCGATTTATAGAGTTTAGAGAGGGTTATATAACCACAAATAAGTAGCCTCCTCGTCTGTAGTGGCCTTCTCAGCCTTGAGGAGGTGAATTAACAAAAAAAAAAAAAAATCATACCATTTATCGGTTAAATTTGTGTGCGTATCATATGCATATTATGCGCATAACATCTGAATGGTATGCGCATATATTCGCAGATATGCGCATAAGTTTTTTCAAAATATAAAATAATTAAAAAACCATCTGAGAAAGCATGTTAGAAAACTGATGTAAAAATGATGTAACAGAAGAAGTATTTTGATGACAATCTGTTGGATTACTTCATCGATAAGTTGAAAAACTACCTAATAACAGCCTGAAACCTAGCGCAAAAAAAAAAAAAATCTAAGGTAGGCACTTAATTTGACCAGCTAACACATAAGATAGGCTGGCTAACTAAAAAACTAGGATACAGCTTATGTCATATATAATACCTATCAACGAATTGAATCAGAGGTGTTCACTCGTGGTTGTCTGGTACCATCTGGTGACCTTAAGTGTACACCTCTGATTCACTTCTTTGATACATATTATATATGAGATAAGCTATATCCTAATATTTTACACATCTTTAGTTTCACTTTCAATAAAATGGTTTTATTTTTTATACTTGATTTACGTTCTTATTTAATTATTATTTGTAATAATAAAATAACGATAATCAAGATGCAATAGTCGACCTATTGATTTTTATTGGCAATTCTAGTTTGTTTTTTTTTTAATTCAAGAATTCTATTAAAAATAAAATCTGAAACAGAAATAAAAGTTTAACTTAAAAAAATCTGAATCAAGAATAAAACTATACTTTGAAAGTCACAAAGCCAAACTAATAAATGTATTTATTTAGCAAGCATTATTTTTCATGACAAAATTCCAAATGCAATGAATATTTTATAGGTAAAATTGTTTATTTTATTTGTTTTCACTGAACAATAAATGCAGCTGTTCTGCATTTTCAAAAGATTAACTTTATAAACATGTAAGGGAGTTAGGGAAGTGCAGATCAAATCACACTACCAGTTCTGTTGGTTTATCACAAAGCTAAATTACCAAAATTTCCAAATTTTTCTTAAATTTTTTTTAAAAAGATTTCATTAGAGGTTTTGAAGAAAATAAACCTAATTACAGGTTTCAAAGTGAATTAGAATGAATTCATAAGTTAATATGATTTATATCGTTATAAAAAAAGATAAACCTAATAACAAAATTATAAAAAACAACAAATCCAGACCCTAATATGTTCAATTGTTGTTTCTTTTCCAAACACCAGTATGTCTTCTTTATCAGTAATGATATCCATTACACGATTACATTATTCCAGTTAAGTTTAGTGAAGCTTATACTAGCCATTCAATCATAAAATTTTCATAAAGAATTACTTTAAGTTGAAATTTTAATGATAGGAATGCATAAATGCTACATAAGCAACCAATCCTTGTATAACTAAATAAATTACACATATATAAATATATACTACACATAAATATATACTACACATAAATATACAAACATATATATATATATATAATATATATATATATATATATATATATATATATATATATATATATATATATATATATATATATATATATATATATATATATATATATATGTTTTGATATGTATGTATATATATATATATATATATATATATATATATATATATATATATATATATATATATATATATGTTTTAATATATATATATATATATATATATATATATATATATATATATATATATATATATATATATATATATATATTATATATATATATATATATATATATATATATATATATATATATATATATATCTTTGTTTCCTTTCTTCTAGTATTGCTGTTTTATTATCTTTAGTTTTTTATAGCTTTATTTTGCCGCAAATTCTGAAAACATTTACTATATAAAAGCGTGGTCAAGTTGTCTAAAAAAATTTCTTTAAGCGTGGACAAAGGCGTGCAAATGCACCCCCGGAAGACTTGTATATATACTGTATACAAAAATAATAATTGTACACTTGAAAAAGAATCGTAATTTTAAAGATTGCATCAAAAAAATTAGTTTTCTGTTAAAATATTTGAAATTTAATTTTAGATATCTTATCAAGTATTGTTTTAAGAATTTATTTGTGTATTGGTGAGTTAATTGCTTTTTATACCTATTGAATTTTACAAAATTGATCTAATGATGCATATAATTGATTGCAAAAAACGTTTGTCTTTCCATCAACGAAGCCTTGTAATTGATTTAAAAAATCAAGGAAAATCCTACCGTCAGATCCAAAAAAAAAAACAGGAATACCTTTTACGACAGTGTTCTTAATTGTTAAGAAGCATAATTTGATTTGAACCATTGCTAGTGTGGCTGGCAGAGGATCAAAACACAAGACCACTAGTGCAATTGATTGCAATATCATCATTAATGTGAAGAAAAATACATTTGTTTCGGCAGCTAAATTAGCTTTAAAATTTCAAAAAGATCACAATATCACAGTAACCCTCGAACAATTAGAAATCGTATTAAAGAACAAGGATTTAGAGTAGTTTGAAAAAAACATTTTTTAACTTCAAAACAAATAAAATGTAGATTAAAATTTAAAAAGAAGTACCAAAAAATGCCAATATCTTATTGGGAAAAAATTTGTGGTCAGATGAGTCCAAATACAACCTTGTCTCATCGGATGGAGTTGTGGCAAAAAAAAAGTATGAGTAGTACAGAAAAATTGGTGACCGAGCATTCAGACTAAAAAACGATTTAAAAGAAGCTTTAATGAGCATATTGGATAATTAACAACAGAAAAAACTCAAAATTTGGTCAACTCAATGCCATATCGTCTAGCTGAGACCATCAAGACCAAAGGAGGCCCCAGTCGATACTGATTTCTATGAAGTTTGATCAATTTGACATTATTTTTGAACTGTACGATTATTTTTTTTGCAGTCAATTTTATGCATTAGATCAACTCTGTAAAATTCAATAGGTATGAAAAGCAATTAACTCACCAATATACAAAAAAAATTCTTAAAACAATACTTGATAAGATATCAAAAATAATATTTCAAATATTTTGACGGAACATTAATTTTTTTTATGAAATCTTTAAAATTACGATTTTTTGTGTACAATTATTTTTTTTGCATACTGTATGTATATATACATATAACTTTTTTCAGCACTTTTTTCAAGGGGTGAGGCAAAAATCCTTCTCAGAAAAGGTGTGCAATTGCACACTTTATATGACCATATATAAACTTTGTTCTGATAACTTGGCCTCTTTGCAATTGGTAAAATTAGAGCGTTGAAAAAAATGCGCTGATTAAACTTAAACAACAATTAAAAAATAAACTAACAAAAAAAAAAGAGAAATAAAAAACTAAAAGAAAAATACAAAACTAAACTAAAAAAAAAATAAACTAATGATAAAATAAATAAACCAGAAAAAAGAAAAGCACAAAATTTTATTTTAATTGAAAAATGTTTCACTTCATAGACAAGAAAATTTAGAAATTTCAAAGTTATCCAATCTAAGATTAATTACTTTGAAACTTAATTTTTTTAAATTAGAAAGTTTGATGTTTTTGAGGCAAAGCAAGTTAGTTAAACATAAAATTTTGACATAATTTATGCATTGCTGAAACTAGGCTTTTTTAGGAGTGATACTGTCCACAGGGAGACAACACCTAATGATTTTGGAAGATTCTTTATAACAAAAGTCATGAAAAACTTTGATAAATATCCAAAATTTGATAAGAACAGTATTGGTGCAGCAATACTTTGGAACCTCAGTGATTTAAGAATCAAAAACTGAAACCTCAAGAATTTAAAACTGTTGAACTTGAAAAATCTGTATCATTAGACATGAATCTATACCATCCATGAGATGCCCATGAAACACATATATCTATAATCAGGCTTGGACAGGATTGGCGTGCAATCAAATGCTAGTGCTGACCACGCAAATGATTTTATTTTTTTTGAAAACTTGACCACAATTGTTTATATGTTTTTATGATTTAAACATTTCAGAAATGCGCTGAAAATAGAAATACTAAGCTTAACTTAACCTAGGAAAAACTAATAAAAATAATTAAAAAAATAATTCTGTACAAAAAAGTATATTAGCACTAAAATAAAAAGTAAAAATTTTAACTCGAAGCGAAACTTTTTGTTACATTTTTAATTGCTTTTGAAATAAATGTTAATAAAAACTTATCTTTTTAAACATTTTATTAAAGTTACGCAAAATGCTTTTAAATTAAGTAACAAATTACTTCTAATAATTTTGTTTAATAAATGAACAAATTTTATAAATTTTTTAAAAAGTGTTTTATATAATATTTTTAAATTGTATAAATACTTAATTTTTCAAAAAAGTTGCAAAAAAAAAATGTTTAAAAAAATAACGCAATCTTTTTAAAATAGTAATTTTTAATAATTTCACTTTCTAAGTCAAGTTTAAAAAAATTTTAAACTTTTTTATTTGTAAAAATAGAAAAAAAAAAAAAACAAGCAATTTAATTTAATTTTAATTTGAGCATTACAAGTAATTTGTAACTTTATTAATAACCCTTTCATATAACGAATTTAAAAATCATTATAAAAGATTTGAACTCATTCATTCCTATTGTAATTGAAAAAAAAAAAAAATTTTTCAAAAAATAAAATGTTTATTTAAAAGATTTTTAAAAAAGTTAGTTTCAAACATTTAAATTTATTATAAAAAATACATGCCTACAAAAAAAAATTTATATAAAACATATTTTATTAATTTACACAAAATGCATTTATTTAAACAATAATTATAATTAATTTTATGTTTTTATTCAAAGCTGCGTCAAATAAAAATTTTAGAAAAGATCAACGATTATAAGTTATTCATAACCTAACACTTTTAAATTGTTAAAACACCAAATAAGCCATGGTCAAGTTGTAAAGAAAAAAAATGATTAGTATGGTCAGTTACAGAGTGCGATCACATGCCATTCCTGTGCAAGCTTGTATAGCGTATGTTTATATTGTTAAAAAAACATGGTAACTACTTATAAAACAAATAATTCTGCTCCATCACTGACAGTTTCTAAAAATCACATTTATGCTGTACACTAACAATTTTTCTTTAACAAAACAATTAATGACTCTCACTATCCTCATCGCTTATTATTCCTGTTTATATTTATGTCCATTAAAAACACTTTTAACAATAATTCTTATTTTATATGATGTTATGAGTGTTTTTATTTCCAAAGAAAATATAACTAAAATATATATCTGTACCTCAGAGGTCAACTATCGTAACTCACATTTGACAATATCTTTGATAATATATATCTAAAATAAGTCTTATTATTTAATAATAACATTAAATTTATAAAGGAATATGAAACTATTGCTAAATATGAAAATCAATATCATGTTAAAGTGAACATTGTGACTTATAGTTTGGAAAGAAATTAAAAAAACTATTTTCATATTCTGTTCCATATTTTTTTGTACCTTACAAAAATATTTAATTGAATTTTAAAAGCATTTTGGAACAATTGGAACAGTAAAAGTGAAAGTTTACTAACACTACTAGCAATATTTTGTAAAACAACTGTCATAGAATGAATGCTTGAATAAATAACTCTTTTGACTACATCAAAAAAATAAACATCTGAATAAACATTAGGATTTAATAATTGCTAATTTATTGACTAATTTCAAAAAAAGTTTTTCCTACATCTATAGAATCTTCATTAACTGATTGTTTAATTAAATGCTTAGCAAAGGAAAATTGAATAAAGTATCTTCCAAAATGGAAGAAATTTAAGCCTACAGGACTTCATTCCTTCCCATCATTTATCAAACATTATGCTTGAATAATCAGTTTTAATAAAGTAACAGTAACAGATTTTCAAAATAAACTTTAGGATGTTATTACACAATCACATCACTTCAGATTTAACCACCTTGCGGTGTATGTCTAAAGTCGAAAAAGGGCATTACCAAATTGTTCAAGTGACAACAAAAAGAAATTTAGTAACATAGACAGGAATCATAAGTGCAATTAGTCATTCATTCCTACCTGTTTATTTAAAAAAAAAAAAAAAACTTAATGTGAATAAAGAGAATTACCTCAAACAATACAGAATTTTTTAAAAAATAGAGAAATATCAAAACTTATTTATTAAGAAAATTAAAAGCTGAGTAAAATGAAACCAAATTAACATGTTTATTTTGAATATTCTAGATATTGAAAAGTTAATAATAAAATTGAACAGTTATGTGACTATTGATTATTTTTAAAAAATCACATCATTTCAAGGGAATGAATTCAGAGAATTTTCTAAAAATCATTTTGACAAAATAGTAAGCAACCTTAAAGTAAAAAAGTATATATAAAGATATTAATGTAATAACTTTTAATGTTTACCCAGTCAGCAATTTAAACTTGCTAAGGATATTTACTTTATCTTTGAGAACATGTTTTTTACCTAAAACTTAGAAAAGATCTACTATAATGCTAATACAGAAAGCGAGATTACCCAAGTTACCACAAAACATGAGAATACTAAGCAGTGTATGAAAAAGTACTTGACTTGTGTGCACATATACAGTTGCCAACTTATTTTGAAGAAAATATGCTATTTAATAAAAATCAATTTGGCTTCAGAAAAAATCACTTCACTATTTAATATTCTTCTATTGATTGATTGATTTATTTTTTTTAGTTTTTAGGTGCTCCAAAACATTTTCACAATCTTATTATAGAGCATTGGGTAATAGCTATTTCATTCCTCCTTCCTTAGCAATATTGCATATATGGCCAGAACCAAATTTGAACCACAAACCTCAGATTCTGTAGCCACAACTCTAACTATTTATTTAATTTAAATTTTTTCTTTAAAAATAGAGGGCTTTATTAATTGATAATTACATGTTCATCATTACAGACTTAAAGAAAACTTATTAAATAAAAAATCAATAATCAATCAATAAAAAATTATTTGAAAAATTGAACTGTTATAAAAGTGGGAGGTGCATGAAGTCAACAATCTGTTAAATCTGTTGCAATTTATTTAACAAGAGGAACATTAAGGATAAAATTTGATTATCAGTTATCATATGAGCTACCCTGTTAAGTAGGTGTGCCACAGTGATCAGAAGTAGGACGTTATTCGTAAAAAACATGAATGATAATAATAGTGCAACTATATATGTAAACATCTATCTTTTTGCAGATGACACATTAGTTTGTATTGAAGATAAGAATTGTGAAGAATCGATTATGAAGTTAAATTGTGACTTGGAAGTCAATAAGTATGCTGATTACATCATTTTTTTAATACATTTATTATACCTCATTTTGAATTTTATGATTTATTATTCTTAAATGCAAATCAAAATAACATTTAAATACTAAAGATGTGAAAAAATAAAGCTATAATAGATGTCTTCGAAGAAATTTGTGCAAAAAAACAGTGAAGTACTTAGACTAAGTACTTCACTAATTTTTTGCACTTCTCGTAAAATAACTATGTCATAGTTATTTTACGAGAAGTGCAAAAAATTATCATTTAAAAACACAGAAAGTAGACATAATTTTATACTCTTTATCTATAACAAATTATTATATGAATGTAATTAGATAAGCAAAACTAGACAAGAATCAAGTTGTGAAACATTAAAAAAAAATGGATATGAAGTGATTTGAACTATCTTTATATTGATTTAAATAGCATTAATATGGCTAATCATAACAACAAATAAATATTACTATAAATAATAAATATATACATTACTATAAATAATAAATATATACAATTTATATATATGTATAATACATAGAGACATTTACAATAATTTTGGTATTATGGAGCAAAATAAGTCAAAATTTGAAAAAGAAAAAAATGACTTTACCTTCTGTGCATACTTTTTACGTTTTCTAGCTTCAACAAAGGTTATATTTTCCAAAAGTACATTTTATTTATATATAATGTGAATATTTAATTTTTTTATTGAACTTTTTATGAAAAATATTATTTACTTGTACAAACAAATAGATTTTCAACCCAGGTGGTGCAAATTAAATAAATCCAAACAAAAAATACTCTCCTTCACTAATATTTTTACTTTGACAAATGGTTTTCCGAAGAATAATCACGGCGGATGCGTTGTTCGGCTTTATAGAAATAGCAACAACTGACAGTGCCCGCTTAAAGCACATGGATATATAACGTATATATGAGGCCCGTAGGAACAAAAATGATATTGGGAGGGGGGACGGTGGTGCCCCGAAATAGTTTCAAGGACTTATTTTTTTTTTAGTCATTTTTTTCAAAAAAAAAATTGCCTTGGGCCCCGAAAAGTCTTGATACGCCACTATGGGTTAATACTACTGGGTAGGTCAAATAGAAGTAAACAAAAATTTTTGTCAAAGGATTTTAGGTTATCTCTATCCTTTTTTAATGTTATATCTTAATTTGAAACTATTTGCTTTTTTCTAAAATCTAACTTTAAAATTATTTCTTTGAAAAATTTTATGAACTTCATAAAAACTAACTGTAGACTGACAATCTACGATTTTGTTAATTATATTTACTTTTTTTGTAATAAATATGTACTACTACTAAAATGTATTCAATAACTAATCGCGCCGGCCATATATATATATATATATATATATATATATATATATATATATATATATACTTTTTTTGTAATAAATATGTACTACTACTAAAATGTATTCAATAACTAATCGCGCCGGCCATATATATATATATATATATATATATATATATATATATATATATATATATATATATATATATATATATATATATATATATATATATATATATATATATATATATATATATATATATATATATATATATATATATATATATATATATATATATATATATATATATATATATATATATATATATATATATATATATATATATATATATATATATATATATATATAGAAAACTGCGAGTTGAAGTAATATTGTAGCCTATCAAGGATCGCTTTGGAGCTATTGACAGTCGGAGAACCGATTGCTATATATGGTAGGATGTTCCATGCATTGACTGTGCAATGCGGTTGTTAAAAAGTTAAAATGAGCTAAATTGTAGCTATTTTTTTATGGTGAAGAACATCTTTAATGTAATATTAATTAAATGATATATTACATACTTTTATTTATTGTCTGCAAACTTAATGACCACGCTCATCAAATTGAGTAAAGATTTATTTATGAATAGAACAGTTATGTGAATTTATAAGTTAATATATATATATTGTTTATTGTTTAAGCAAGCTTAGGCTACCAATTTTTTTTGACTTTGATCTCTTTTTCCTTTACAGATACTTTTTGTCTCACTCTGTCAGGGTTTTAAAATAGCTTAGACTTTAAATATAATATGTAAAACTCTATTAAATAAGAAATTACACTACCAATTTCTGTCAATGGCAGATTAAATATACTTAGACATGACACTGGTCTAATTGGAGCGTTTTCACCTAATTTCATTAAATTTAAAGAGTTTCTATGTAATTACAAGTTTCCATACAGTTTTAATAACTTAGTTCTTCAAATTTAATTTAAACAATTTTTATTGACTTAATGTTCAAAACTATTGACTAAAAAAACCAAAAAGTTTTATTAATGAAAGTTTGCATTAGAAATTTTTTTAAAAAGTGTTTTGAAAGTTGAACTTTGGTAATTGTTTTTATCTTTTTCTAACAAGTATGTGGGTTTGAGATTTCTTAGACCCGTCATAAAACTTAGGTAAACTACAATGCCAAAATTATTGTAAATATTATTTTGATTTTAAATTAAAGTTTCTTTTCAATAATGTTAAGTTATAATAAATTTATGACTTTATAAATAAAAGATTTTTATTTAATAGAAATAGAATTAAAATACAAATCTTTTATACATATATATATTATACATATTTTAATTTGAGTTAAATAAAAATGTATAAAACAAACAAACAAGCTCTATAATATGACTATTGTTAATCTAACACATTGTTTTAAAGCCCTCCTTTTTGTTTATTTTTTGAATTTGAGCATCCCTACTGCTTTCCGAATTCCGGCGCCACCGTGATAGAAAAATATATATATATATTTTAAGAACTCTTTTTAAAATGCATAATGGGTTTCAAAGGTGACCATCATAATGCTTAAATTAATTCTTAGTTCTGTATTATTTACTTTAGATCTTCATTGACTACTTTAGGTAAAGTAGTTACTTTAGGTAAAGTAGTTAATTTACCTAAAGTATGTCGTACATACTTATTATCAGATATTGCTCAGTGATTGCAACAACAATACTAGGTGTTTTTCACAAGATATAAAACAATGTTATAGAAATTTATGCATAGTATAATATATATAAAAACAAAATTGGCATAGACAAATAATTTTGATTGGGGTAACATGGTTAACCAAGTAACTTGAACTTGCGGCTAAATTTCTATTATACATCCGATGAGGATGCTTTGCATTTTTTGAAAAACATTTATATTTGTATAACAGAAAATATGGTTAGTGTATATTGGTAAAAAAATAATTAACGGTTATCATCTAATTAAAGCGAAATAATTTTTTTGTTTTGTTAAAATATTATCTTTACATCCGAAATAATTTAACGCCGAAAAGTTAGAACGTAAAGGTGTTTAACAAACGTAAAGGTAAAAGGTAAAAATTACATAGGAGTTTTTATCTTTTACTTTATTTAAACATATGGTTGCAACGTTTTTGTGTTCTGGATAAAGGTAAAACATAAAATTTTAAAAAGTAGACATGTTAAAAAAGTTGTTTCATAAAGTTAAATAAAAACATCTGATTATACTTGATAACTTTTTCTTTTTTAAATTTGTTTTTACAATAGCTCTAGAGAACGCATATCCTCTCGTTATTTAAGTTAATATAATACATGGTTAATCTTAACAAACAACAAAATATAACAACAATAAAAAATCAGAACTAAATTACATATTCCTTTATACATCATACAAGCTTGAACAACAAATGTATGTATAGAACTGCAAAAAAACCCACTAAAAATATTGTAAAAAAAATTTAAAGAGGAAAAAAGTTAGAACCATAATGATGATTCAAAAAAAAAATTTATTCGCGCAAAGGTATTAAAACAACTAATCTGTTATAACCATAAACCTGTTTTTATTTAACTTTATTAAAGAAGAAAAGACCGTTAAGTAGTCTTCGAGCTAATTAATAACCAAACACTTTTAATATATATGCAATGCAAAAAATTTTATTTAGTTTAAATATATATGACACTTCACAATAATGAATAATAATAATAATAATAATAATAATGGAATTGAATAATTAAATAAAAACTGGAATTTATAGAGATAATTGCATTGTAGTCTAAATACATCACTTGGTTTATAATCACAGGCACAGTGAGTGTGCATATGTTAGCTGAGGGTTTGAATTTAGGTAGGTTGTCTTGTAATTACAAGCTTTTGTGGATCTGAAAAAGTCTGTTGGAATAGAAGTTTGATGAGTGAGCCTACCTTCTGTATAAGCTTTCTAAAACAGAAAAAGCATTTCTGAGCCTTATTATTATTTGTTCATATATTAGGTTAAATTTCTTTTTGAATTAATACTGTCACAAAACTGTTCTATTCTAAAACAATTTTGTGAAAAACTTTATTGGTACAAAAGAAAATTGTTTTGAACAAATCAACTATTAATTGAAACTAAGAACAATCAAAAATAAAGTTCGCAATGTCACAAGGCTTTTAGTTAGAAAGAAATTAAGTTAGAAGTTAATAGAAAGTAAAAATATTATATCAATAAGAAAAAACGTTATATCAATAAGAAAAAACCTGACAGAGGACTAAAGTGTGAGCTTTATGAACCAGAAAAGCTTAAGAACGAGATAAAGCTTCAAAATATTAATGTTTAAGAACAAAAAACTAAATAAATAAAAACATAAACATTGATAAATAATGAGACACGCAGGATTAAGTTATGGTTGATAAAAAATAATAAAAAAAACTCTCTAGATGAACAAAACTGTGAGATCAACAAGTTAATAAAGTATTTTTGAGCTTTTCTCAATCAGACTTATTCATCGATAAATTTTAAGTTTTATAGTATATTCTTTCAGCGTTCAAAAGTTATTACCATACAAAGTTTGAACTCCTCTCAATTTTAGGGGTTTACAAATTTTAAACGGTCATAATTTTTGAACGCTGAAAGATTATACTATGAAACTTAAAATTTATCGATGAATATAAGTCTAACTGAGAAAAGTACAAAAAATATTTTATTAACTTATTGATCTCACGTTTGGGGAAGGGGGCAAAAAATTTAAGTTTCTTTTATTCCCAGGCTCCAATCATCTCACGATTTTTGCAAAGCATTCCTTATTTGACATTAGTATAAACATACAAACGTTTGGAGTTTGTTCTATGTCTGGAAGTTAGCTATTTCAAAGACCGAAAAATGCTGGCCCACCCCCTGAGTGCTCCTAATGTCAAGATACAGATTGAATCATACACTTAAATCAGCAGTAATATTTGAAATATCTAAGTCATAATTTTTATTATATAACAATAGATCAGATGATCTTTCATTATTTTCATCAAGTAACAAACAAATTTTGTGATGATTTAATGCTTTTAAGACAATTTTATTGACTATTTTTACTACCAAACCGATTACCTCCTGAATCTTAAATAGAAATATTTGTGCACACAGTGTCTCTTGATAAATGAAAACTGAAAATGATGTATTTGAAAATCATAAATTTGAATATTGAGGAGTTAACCCTGGCAGGATACATATCACTCTACTAATCCAAATAGGTGGTATCATCAATGTCACATGACTCATCACTCACCAAAAAAAAATATGGGTCGTGATTTAAAGTCAGAAATTTGTTGAAATGCCACATTTTCTGTCATTTCTATTGTTCTGCCAAAAACTGTTTTTGCAGAAAGTGAAATATCTTTGATTTTTTTAACTGCTATTTTTGAAAAAGGTACAAGGTTTACCACACTTTATTATTTCTCAAGAAATAGAAATGTTAACTGTTGCGAGACTATTTG